GAGGCAGTGAGGAGGATGGTGCTGGCCTCCTTTCACTGATGGCCACTGACAGAGGTAATGGCCTCAAACTGAAGCACCAAAAGTTCTACAAGAACTTAAGGACAAATTTCTTAACAGTGAGGGTGACAGAGCACTGGAACAGGCTGCCCAGAGAGGTTGTGGAGTCTCCTTCTCTGGAGATCTTCCAAACCCGCTTGGACGCAGTCCTGTGCCACGTGCTCTAGGTGACCCTGCGTGTGCAGGGGGGTTGCACTAGATGATCTCTAGAGGTCCCTTCCAACCTTAAGCATTCTGTGATTCTATAAATTCTATAATGAGCTCTTTCTCAACTTTACCGCCCTCTCTTGCAGTCAGCGCACACATCCACAGCTCCATGTGTCACTGCCAGCCAAACTCAGTTCACTCTTCTCCTTGGTACTCCCAAAGTCGAACACTCTAGTTTTGGAACTGCTGTTACAAACTGAATTAGACAATGGCTAACTTGACCATTTATGAGGCAATCTTACAAGTAAGGGAACATTACATACCCAGCAATAGAAAAATGTTGATGTGTAGCGAGTTATTTTTCTTTGGCAGAGGATGTCAGGACCCGGAAATCTTTCCAAGGAGAAGAAAGCTCTTCTATTGCTTCCTTAGTCTTGCCTAATCTGATTTAAAAATCTAATACTAAGTGGCTTCCCTTTCTTTTCAAAGAACATTAGCATTTAATCAGACAGAGTGCTTTGTTTTTCTCTGCAAATCAGAGGATTAAGAACTTCTCCCAAACTTTTTTAACATCACCTTCCAGTAAGATGACAAATAAATACAGAAGGTTATTTAAGATGTTCTATTTACATCCAGCACTTTCATGGAGAGCTTAGTTTTGTGGTAAGCTCTCCGGCTTCTCAAGCTCTCTCAGCTTTTCCATGACTTTCCAGCAATTAAGAAATTAACAAGACTGCAGAAACATGTTCTCTGAATTTGTGGGGGAAAATAATAATAAAAAAAGTCAAAGTTACTTCTTTAGTTTTTGTCTTTTGGGGAAATATTGAAAATGCTGATGGTTTGAGTTAAATGAGAATAAAAAAATCTTATTTCAGTGGCTATAAAAAAGAGATTATACATACTTATACATATACAGGCATATACATTATGCCTGCCCGTATTTGATGAAGAACAACCAATTTCTGTGTGGTAATGCAATTAAAAAAGGGGAAGAGTGAATAGGTTGCCGCAAGTTGTTTGACTGCCAGTGGTCATTTTTTTAAAAACTCCTTATACAAAAGTTTTGAAAACCAGAATAACCACTACCAAACCAAAACATGAACTACACACACATGCAAAAAGACACAAGACATAAAACAAACACCTAGTAAACAAATGATATGGATTTGTGTACCACTTTAAGCCCACTTCAGACTGAAAAATTAGAGCTGTAACTAGCAACCCATCTAACAAATATGTTGCTTGAAAACAACAGAAATACAGGCATATAAAAGTTGAGGACTACCCATTAAAAAAATCTCCATGACAAGTTTGGATTCTGTGTTTTAAGTGTGCTATTGTCAGAAGCAGAATCTTCATAAAAAGGAACAGGAGAGTGTCTAAGCTTATTGCCAAGTAGTCCCACAATTCACTGTAGTGGCAAAGCAACTCTTCCACAGAAATCTATTACACTATCAAACATCCTCTCATCTTCGCATGCCTCATCAAAAACTACTAAAACCTCTGTATTATTTTTCTAGAGACCTTTTGATATACTATGAGAACTTTTCTAAGAATGATCTGAATAAAACAGAGATTAATAATTCAAACTAATCCACATTGGCATAAAAAATGTTTGGCTTAGCTTCCTTTTCTTCATTGATAGTTAAGAAAACTTCCTTGGGTATCCATTTAAAATTGGCAATAAAGAACCTTCCATATATTGCCACTTTTTTCAAGAAGAGGAAGCTACTGAACTTTGAGTTGATGAAGGAGTAAATGGTAAAATGCCAGCTTTTATACCAAGGATCTATGGAATACACTGGATACTTTGCAAGCTATATATAAGGCATTAATTTAACACAGTGCCACTTCAGCTTATCCACCGTATTTCTTGCATCATCTTGTTCCAATTGTACGTAGGCATCTGCACAAACTCAAGAACTCCCAAGACAATGTCACCCTGAATAGCTGCACTCCTTAATTCATGCCCAGAAACTGCGTTATTGCATATTTAATGCAATTCCATGGTCGTCCTTACAGCAGTAAATTAGAAAGTGATTCTAACTAATTGCAGCATGCAGAAGGTGCCACACTGTTCCTTCTCTCCAAAGGGGGGTCTGCCATTCCTTATTTTGAACGTTCATAATCATCTCTCATACCCGCCCGATAAATTTATTAGAAACACCATCTGTTGGGGACTATTTTGTGCTATATTTTCAGCTCTTCTGATTCTTTCTTTTTCCCATTAGAATTTCTGCTTAAATTTGTATCATTTGTTTACAAAACGCTATTACCAAAAAAAAGGCATTGATTTTCTTTTCTTTTTCTTTTTTTTTTCTTCCTTACCCTCATAATCATAATTACCCAGGTATTAATAACCAAGACTGTAAGAGAATACAACAGAGGAGAAATTACAAGTATGGAAATTCTTTTTTCTCTGTTCATATAACAGCTTTGCTCTGACAAATCCAATTTACTTTCAACACAGTGGACGTGAGTTAGCAAAGCTTATATATGCTGCAAGCAAACAAAGTAGATGACAGACCTCACATATAACAGCATGAAAAAAAGCTATTAAACTTATTTCATTGTTTCCTATGGAAACAATGGAGTAATAAATGGAGTAATGAATAGCACAGCACTTAACTCAGCATTATTTTTATAAAAGACTCATTTCCAAGGTATAGGCTAAGGATTAGGGCAAGGTATAGGTAGCTATACCAGCTATATTTAGAGATAGGACAGACATGTTATTCAACTATTCTTAGAGATCTCCCAGGAGAAAAAAGCACTGGGAACATATGGCAGACCTTGGTCATACCTATTTATCACTCTGTATCAAGATGTATCCTTGATCATAAAAAGATTTTTAGCACACTTGGTTTTCCATAAAAAAAGTACTCCAGAAAAAAAAATAAATAATTCTTTTCATCTCTCAGTCTGGAGGGGTCTGATTCGGCTTTCTTTGCATCCAGTGCAACTTTTCTGTCTACATCTGGGTAAGATGGAAAAATATCATCTAAAATGTCTCTAAGACCTCTGTGATAGAGGAAGGTACAGAATGGAGTTGCTTCAGAATACATATTAATAAACCTTTAATTTAACTCCTAAAACAGATACAGAGAGACAGCTCATCTGCAGAGTTTAGAGGAAGCTATAAAGCACCATGGGGCTGTTCAATATATTTCATCTAGATAATGAGCTATCAACGGTTCTCAGCTCGTATCATCACTGCCACAAAACTGAGTTTTCTTAAAACAGATACTGAAGTGCCAAGGCACACGTGTAAAAACTTACATGAGCCAACAGCATGTTCCCAAACACATCTCAATCCCTTGCAGAACTACGTCGTAAGGGCAACAGGACTTTGGACAACTCTTTAGAAAGACACAGTGAACAAGAAATTATAGTGGAGGAAGTAAATCTTTGTTTTATTTTATTTTGTTTAATCTGAAGAAGTGATTTTTCTCTCTTGCTGTCACCTGTTAGATGCTCAGCTTTCAGCCTCTCCATTTCATGGTAAAATCATACTTTTTCCTCTACAGAGATGA